TTCCTTCTGAAAAATGCTGATGATAGTACTGACTTTATAGAGTTGTTATGAGGATTCAATGACTTAATACGTATTTGTAAAGCATCACCAGTGAATCACACATAGTTTATTTATCAAAGTGTAGATGATTTAAAATGTTGTGCTAATTTGCGTTGTACAGCAAAGTAACTCCATTATACACACGTGTGTGTTAAGTCGCTTCAGTAGCTCTTTGCGACCCTATGGACTGCAGCCCACCAGGCTCCTCAGTCCATGGAATTCTCCAGGCAAGAAGACTGGACCGAATTGCCAAGGCCTCCTCCAGGGGATCTTCCTGTCCCAGGGATTGAACCCACATCTCTTATGTCTCCTGCACTGGCGGGCAGGTTCTTTACCACTAGCGCCATCTGGGAAGCCCCCATCACACACATTCTACTTTATATTCTTTTCCATGATAGTTCGCCTCAGGATTTTGAGTATAGTGCCTGTGCTGTGCAGTGGACCTTGCTGTTATCCATCCTACACAGAATGGTTTGTGTCTGCTAACCACACACCCCCAGTCCACCCCGCCCCTACCCCCGCCCCTCTGGCACAAGTCTGCTCCCCACCACTGAGCCCGTTTCCACCTCACAGACAGGCTCATCTGTGCCGTACTTTAGACTCCACACACACACGGTATCATACGGTATTTGTCTATCTCTTTCTGACTTACTTTATTTAGCATTTTACTTATTTATTTAGATGATCCCCAGGCCCACTCACGCTGTGGCGAGTGGCGTTCTGTCGCTCTTTCCATGACTGAGGGGCATCCCGCTGTAAGTTTGCACCAGCTTTTCTTTATCCCTCCACCTGCTCATGAACATTTCGGTTGTTTCCATGTGCTGGCTATCGTAAACAGTGCTGAAATGAACACCGGGGTACATCTATCTTTTCAAAGTATTGTTTTCTCCAGACATATGCCTGCGAGTGGGACTGCTGGGTCATATGGTAGCTCTGTTTTTAGTTTTTTAAGGAACCTCCAGTGTTCTCCATAGTGGCTGCACAAACTTACATTCCCACCTGCAGGGTAGGAGGGCTCCCTTTTCTCCACACCCTCTCCAGCAATTGTTATTTGTAGACTTTTTGATGATGGCTATTCTAACCAGTTTGGTACCTAATTGTAATTTTGATTTGCTTTTCTCTAATAATTAGCAATGCTGAGCATCTCTTCATCGTGCCTATTGGCCATCAGTATGTCTTCTTCGGAGAAATGTCTACTTAGGTCTTCTGACCATTTTTCAATTGGGCCCTTTAGTTTTTGTTGTTGAATTATATATGAGCTATTTGTATATTTTGGAAATTAAGCCATTGTCAGTTGTACCATTAGAACATATTTTCTTTCATTCTGTGGGCTGTCTTTTCCTTTTGTCTGTGATTTCCTTTGCTGTGCAAAACCTTGTAAGTTTAATTAGGTCCCACTTGTTTTCTCTTTATTTCTATTACCTTGGGAGACTGCCTAAGAAAACACTATAGCATTTATGTCAGAGATGGCTTCCCTGATAGTTCAGTTGGTAAACAGCCTGCCTGCAAAGCTGGAGACCCCGGTTCAATTCCTGGGTCGGGAAGATCCGCTGGAGAAGGGATAGGCTACCCACTCCAGGATTCTTGGGCTTCCCTTATGCTTCAGCTGGTAGAGAATCCGCCTGCAATGCAGGAGAGCCAGGTTGGACCCTTGGGCTGGGAAGAGCCTCTAGAGGACACGGCAGCCCACTCCAGTATTCTTGCCTAGAGAACCCCACGGACAGAGGAGCCTGCCAGGCCAAAGTCCATTGGGTTGCAGAGTCAGACACAACTGAGCGAGTGAGTGCAGGAGCATGGTCTCAGTCATTTGTTCATAAGCCTCATCTCTTTCCCCCCAGCTCTGTCCAGATGTCTGACTCCCAAGCGACAATGTTTTATCAAAGTAGACAATCCTCATCAATCTGATGATTCAGAAAGAAAAGCTCAAGGACTGGAGGGATCACACCCTGGGGCTCTCTGCTGCTCCTAACACAAGGGAGGCGCTGGACACCTGTTTGTTGAGAGGATGAATTCTGCTGAACTCAGCCTCCCCAAAACGCTTACTGAGTATGATGCCTACTTTAATCCTGGCTTAACTCCTAACAGAACTGAGAGAGTGGAGGAAAGAGACTCTCTCACTTGCTTTTTTTTTGCTGCCCAGGAGTTGTGTGTTGTTTTTTTTTTTTAATTAAAACTGCACACATCAGTACTAACACCATCTTACATTTTCATAACATTTTACAGCATAAGGCCAAAAAATACAGTACTTCTGTTTTTAACAGCATAACACCAGAAACAGTTCTAATGTCCTTAAGAAGGACTGTCAGAATAAAGTAAGTGACATTCACTTGATGGAGCACTAGATACCAGTCAAAAGAACTAATAAAGATTTATATACTCCAGTGTAGAGTGATCTTGGGGATTTAAGGTAAAATGCAGAATACTTTGCAGTTAAGAAACAGAAGTGGGGGGTGGGGATAAACTTGGGACTTGGCATTAACAGATACACACTCTATATAAAATAGAATAAAATGGAGAAAGAGAACCTACCGCACAGCACAGAGAACTGTATTTTGTAAAAACCTGTAATGGAAAAGTCTGAAAAATAATATATCTGCTGTACACCCAAAACATGGTGAATCACTAGACTTTAAAGAAGAAAAGGAAGGGAAATGCAGTTGTTCATACTGAGGATAAACAAATGGAAGGATGTCACTGACTAATGGAAGTTCTAACCGGTAAGGGAAGGCTGGAGAACAGGCATGGAAGTTTTTGGGTGACAGACCCATGGGCAGCTTCATGACGGATGTCGCAGACTGTCCAGGAAACCCCTGGCCCCCTTAACTGCTGAAGGAGAGAAAACCAGACAGCTCAGCCTCCTGGTTTGGAGCAGCAGCAAGCGCAGAGCAAACCCAAAGCGGGGTTTCCAACCTGGACCTAACTCTCTAACTACCAGCTGACAGAAGTTCTGCTGTCCATACTGTTCACGGGGCTCTCGAGGCAAGAGTACTGAAGTGGTCTGCCATCCCCTTCTCCAGTGGACCACGTCTTGTCATAACTCTCCACCATGACCCGTCCTTCCGGTGGCCCTACACATTTCATTGAGTTAGACCAGGCTGTGGTCCATGTGATCAGATTGGTTAGTTTTCTGTGATTGTGGTTTTCAGTCGTCTGCCCTCTGATGGAGAAGGATAAGAGGCTTATGGAAGCTTCCTGATGGGAGACTGACTGAGGTGGAAACTCGGCCTTGTTCTGATATGTGTGGCTATGCTCAGTAAATCTTTAATCCAATTTTCTGTTGATGGCTGGGGCTGCATTGCCTCCCTGTTATTTCAGATAGGACACTGAAAGATGAACTCTCCAGGTTGGTAGGTGCCCAATATGCTACTGGAGATCAGTGGAGAAATAACTCCAGAAAGAATGAAGAGCCAAAGCAATAACAGTCAGTTGTGGATGTGACTGGTGATGGAAGTTAAGTCTGATGCTGTAAAGAGGAATACTGCATAGGAACCCTGAATGTTAGGTCCATGAATCAAGGCAAATTGGAAATGCTCAAATAGGAGATGGCGAGAGTGAATGTCAACATTTTAGGAATCAGTGAACTAAAATGGACTGCAATGGGTTAAATAGTAGATAGTAGTGTATCTACTACTGTGGGCAAGAATCCCTTAGAAGAAATGGAGTAGCCATCATGAGTTCGAAACGCAGTAATTGGATGCAATCTCAAAAATTACAGAATGATCTGTTTGTTTCCAAGACAAACCATTCAATAGCACAGTAATCCAAGTCTATACCCCGAACAGNCTCTTCAGAGTCCCTTGGACTGCAAGGAGTTACAACCAGTCCATCCTAAAGGAAATCAGTCCTGAATATTCATTGGAAGGACTGACGCTGAAGGTGAAACTCCAATACTTTGGCCACCTGATGTGAAGAACTGACTCATTTGAAAAGACCATGATGCTGGGAAAGATTGAAGGCAGAAGGGGAGGACAGAGGATGAGATGTTTGGATGGCATCACCAACTCAATGGACATGAGTTTGAGCACGTTCCGGAAGTTGGTGATGGACAGGGAGGCCTGGCGTGCTGCAGTCCATGGAGAGTCAGACGCGACTGAATTGAACTGAACTGACAGGAAATTCTAGGGTAGAGAGGGGCTTCCCTGGTGGCTCAGAGATAAAAGAATCCGCCTGCCAATGCTAGAGACCAGGACATGTGGGTTTGATCCCTGGTTGGGAAGATCCCCTGGAGGAGGTCTAGGCAACCCACTCCAGTATTCTTGCCTGGAGAAACCCGTGGACAGAGGAGCCTGGTGCGCTACAGTCCGTGGGGTCATAGAGTTGAACACTAGGATAGAGAAGTATGTTACATGACACCATTGTCGGACAACGGACCCAGTTTGCTCACTGTGTGCCACAACTTTTAACAATGCAGAGCTCCTGGTAATGATCAAGGCTTGCATAAAGTATATAACACCATCACCTGGCCTACCATCAGCCTTCAGTAAATAGATGCCAGTGCTTATTCCCAGCAGCTGTGCCCACTACGTTTGATTGGGCTTCGGACCCTAATTTTCTAGCTCTGATTCGGTCAAAAGACAGGCACCCAGTAAGCGATTCAGAAATAAGTAAAACGGGGAAGAAAGCAAGCTGTGATGAAGCACACCCAGCACTTGCATCAGGAGTCTCCCCGTGAAAACACCACCGCTTCCGTTTCATGGGTGAAGTAACCGTGCCTCGAGAAGAAAGACACGGCTGTACGGAAGCCCCTTGCCCGCGGCCTCTCCCGCCTCTCTCCCCTCTGGTCGCCAGAACTCCGGCCCAGAAGCCCGCCGAGAGGCCGGCCTCCCAGAAGGCCCTGCAGCGCCGCGGAGAACTCTGGGATACAAGCGGATAAACAAACCCAAGGCAAGCGGCGAGAGCCAGCCAGAGGGACTCCCCTCCAAGCCCGCCGAGCGCCTTCTTTATCCCTCCTGGGGACTCACCTTTCCTCCCGCTGTCCGGAGCCTCGGCGACACCCGCAAAGGCGGGGAAGAGCGCCATGGTCACAGGCCGCACCGCCTCCTCACCCACAAAGATGGCGCTTGGAGCCCGAGGCCGACCGTCCGGCCGTTGCGGTGGCGGTGCACTCTGGGAATTGTGGTTTTCTCTGTCGCTCCCTGAGCCTAGTCCTCAACCATGGGGGCGGGGCGGAATAAAAAAGGGGCGGAACGGAAAGGGCGGGGAAGGGCGGGGCAGGGCGGGGCGGAAGGGACGTCCTCCCAGGAATCAGTACCTGCTTGCTGCTTTGAGAACCAGGAAATGCTGCGATTGGAGGTGCCAGTTCTTCAGAGCAGAAAGTTCTAGGAATTTGAAATTCTGATTCCGCTCCTGAGTTCACACCCTGACTTCCTGAGTGAGTCAAATTAATCAGATTCCCCAAGCTTTGCTTTGATGAAATAAAAATTCATATTTTAAGGCAAGATAGAAATTGAAACGAAATTTTTCTCTGCCCATTGTACCTCCTCCCTCCCCGCTAGTGTCCCTTGTGTATCTGCATTCTGCACTAAGGAGCCCTTCCCAGTGACCGAAGGACTTCCCAAGAGCTTCAGTGGGTAAAGAACCTGCCTGCAATGCAGGAGCCCAGGGTTTGATCCCTGGGTGGGGAAGATCCCCTGGAGAAGGAAATGGCAACCCACTTCAGTATTCTTGCCTGGAGAATACCACAGCCAGAAGAGCCTGGCGGCCTAAAGTCTGTTAGGTTGCAAAGAGTCGGACATGACTGAGAGACTTGAGTGCAAGCACACATCTTCATTCTCTCTTCCAATGACAGAGATGCCTGCTCAGTCATGAACATCTATTTATTGTGCTTGGTTTTTTTTTTTTTTTTTTTTTATTGTGCTTGGTTTTTTTTTTTTTTTTTTCTGTTGCCAGCTAGGTAATTCCTTAGAAGATAACATTCCTTTCACAGTCCTGTAAGGGGTCACCGATGACCCACCACACAGCTTGTAAGTGCAGACTTCTTTGGTGAGCTCTATATACAATGCCAGTATGTCATTTCCCTTAAAGATGGTGACTGGTGCAGAACAGACTGGCCAGAGGAACTTGGGAGAACACTGAGTCACATATTATGGAAATTCTTGGCTTAAATGTGTACTTATGACTTTATTAGTGTTACTAGCCATATTACTTATATTCTGCCTAATCTATAAGATCATTTCTTGTGTTACCCAGTGTGTGACTGAGCCTCAGATAAAGTTATTGTGATTAGGTGACCTGAAGTGATTGATCAAATGCATAGTTCTATAAGATCAAAGATTGTAATAGTGTAATTCTGGAAATGGAAAGAAGCAACAGGAGAGGACCATTTCCTGGACTGTAGCAGACTAGTAAGACAGTCTTTCCACAGTTTCCCTGTTGGTCCAGTGGTTAAGAATCTTCCTGCTGGACGAATGGATGAGGAAGCTGTGGTACATATATACACATCTCAGAGCAACTAAGCCTGCGTGCCAAAACTACTGAGTTAAAGCACTAGAGCCCAAGAGCCACAACCACTGAGCCCACGGGCCGCAACTACTGAAGTCCACGTGACTAGAGCCTGTGCTCCGCTGCAAGGAGGAGCCGGAGCACCGCGGTGAAGAGTGACTCCTGCCTGCCGCAACTGGAGGAAGCCCACGTGCAGCAGTGAAAAGCCAGCGCAGCTAAAAATAAACAAATCATCTTAAAGACGAGCATCCAGAGGCTTTTGGTTACTATTAAAGGGGCCTAGTCCAGTAACAGTACATTGAGTGGCCTATCAAGAAAATCTTTGCCTGACCTGGGAATGAGCATTCTTAGCTCATGACAAACTGGTCATGAAATGCCTCCCAAACCTTGGTCACAATTCAGACCAAAAGGGTGGGGATTGTAAAATGTTGCCCACCATCCAGTTCTACAAGAATCAAGTCACTAGGCAGTGAAGCCACTGAAAGGAATCTGTGAGAGGAGTTCAGGGTGAGTATCAGGCTGAGACTGTGCTCTGGGAGAGCTACGGAACTGACCCTTAGGTAGTTAGAGATTTTCAGAAGAAAATTTTATGAACCCAATTTCTTGCATCTTCCTATACTTAAAAAAGCACTTAAACCATTAACTAAGATATCTGTTCCTCCCAAATAGCAATAACCTTCTACCAAGATGAGACTGAATTGCACATAAGAAAGTGAAAGTGTTAGTCACTCAGTTGTGTCCAGCTCTTTGTGACCCCATGGACTGTAGCCCACCAGGCTCCTCTGTCTATGGGGATTCTCCAGGCAAGAACACTGGGGTGGGTCACCATTTCCTTATCCAGGGATTCTTCCCAACCCAGGAATTGATCCTAGGTCTCCTGCATTGCTTCCCTGGTGGCTCAGAGGTTAAAGCATCTTCCTCTAATGCAGGAGACCCAGGTTCGGTCCTTAGGTCAGGAAGATTCGCCCCTGGAGAAGGAAATGGCAACCCACTCCAGTGTTCTTGCCTGAAGCATCCCATGTAATGAGGAGCTTGGTAGGTTACAGTCCACGGGGTTGCAAAGAGTTGGACACGGCTGAGCGACTTCACTCGCTTTCACTCCTGCATCGCAGGCAGGTTCTTTACCATCTGAATCACTGGGGAAGGCCTAATTNAGTCCACGGGGTTGCAAAGAGTTGGACACGGCTGAGCGACTTCACTCGCTTTCACTCCTGCATCGCAGGCAGGTTCTTTACCATCTGAATCACTGGGGAAGGCCTAATTGCACAAAACCATTCACCAAAATCACGTACATGCTGCCTCCTATACCCCTTCAGGACAGTTCTCAGAGTCATCTGGGAGACCATCTCCTGGATTATAATCCTCAGGTTGACTCAAACAAAATTTTTCATTTCTCTCCTAGATTGACTATTGATTAATTATTTGTGTGTGTGTGGACAGTTTCCTCTGCAAAATGTTTAGAAGGTTAAATGAGCACAGAGGTCAAGTGCTTAGACTTATACCTGGCTCAGCAAATGCATTTAATACAAGTTAGCTATTACGTGAGTTGTGACTGCAAGTCTGACTCAAAGCTGTGTGAAATAGGCAAACTTCAAACAATATATCATTTAAAATGTGTTAGGAATGTAAAAGAGTTTAAGGTCATTTCAAGCTCAAAGATTTTTGCTGGTTAGAAAATATATTCACCCACTTATGAACTATTCTTGACTTAGGGAAAAAATGAATCTAATGGAGACTGTTACCAGAAATAAATGGTGAAGGAACAATTTAAAGAGTTCATACTATCTGGAACCCCTAACCGTGGAGCTTCCCAGGTAGCTCAGATGGTAAAAGAGTCTGCCTGCAATGCAGGAGACCTAGGTTCAAACCCTGGGTCAGGAGGATGCCCTGGAGAAGGAAATGGCCACCCACTCCAGTATTCTTTTCTGGAGAATCACATGGACAGAAGAGCCTGGCAGGCTACAGTCCATTGGGTTGCAAAGAGTTGGACACGACTGAGCACTAACATTTCATTTCATTTTACTATCTAGAAGCAATCATCCAAATTTAGAGAGTGGGAAATTATAGAAAACAGCCCAGTTTCTTCCATGAATCAACATCTTTAAGGGTACTAGAGACTGCAATAGAATAAAATATTTTGGGGTTGTATCAATCAAATGAGATATATGACCCCATTATGATTCTGGTTGGGAAAAATGTAAAAGGACCTTTTTGAGATAGATGGTAAAATTAAAAATGGATAGGGTGTTAGATGACATCAAGTAATTCTTGTTAAATCTGTTAGCTATACTAATGTACTATGGCNAGTTGGTGATGGACAGGGAGGCCTGGCGTGCTGCAGTCCATGGGGTCGCAGAGTCAGACACGACTGAGTGACTGAACTGAAATATATTGGGGGTGAGAGAATTCCAGGGAGCTCAAAGATCTTTAGTTAGGAAATGTATTAAGAACTAGAGAAGCAAATCTGCCACTTTCAGGTTCTATCAAAATCTCCGGCTCTAAGTCACCTCAGTTAACTGGGGCAGCTCCTCTCTCCCTTAGCAGGTCCCCTCCGGTCACCGTCTTCCCCACTGCTTTCCTTCCACTCCAGGAAAACAATGTGTGGAAGGTTTAGAAGAATCAGGACCATGAAGTAAAACTCCCATCATAAGGAGGGATCTGGGTAGGGACTTGCCTGGTGGCCTGCTGCTCCAGACTCCATGCTCCCAGTGCCGGGGACCCAGGTTTAATCCCTGGTCAGGGCACCAGACCCCACATGCCTCAACTAAGCATGCCACATGCCACAGTGAAGGCTGAAGAGCCCACGTGCCCGCAGTTAAGGCCTGGTGCAGCCAAATAAATAAATACAAGAAAGAAGAAGAAGATACCTGGACACATTTGATATTTTCTCTACTATGGATGTGTGAGAAAATTTGAGACCCAAGAGACCCCTTATAAGAACAATTTAAGAGTGTGTAAATGAGGAATTGCTTTAGACTTCTGCTTCTAAGTCGAAATCTTGTATAGTTTAGGCAGAGTTTCAGAAGATGTAATAATTTAAAGTTTGCCATACTTTTAGGTATATAATTCATTTTCTTTGTAAAAATCAATATTTGAAGAAGACTGAGTATTTTTGAATAATTGAAATACCCAAAGAGAAAGTAAAATGTATTAAATTTATAAATTGATGTAAAATGTATAAATGCTGAGCAGAGGTCAGCAAAACTTTTTCTTAAAGGGCCAGAGAGTAAATATTTTAGGTTTTGTGGGCCAGAGGGTCTGTGCCACAACTCCTGGTTTCTGCCACTGTATTGGGAAAGCAGCCAGAGATAATAAATATATAAATGAATGGGCATGGTTGTGTTCTAATAAAACTTTATTTACAAAAACAGATGGTGAGCCCACAGACTGTCATTTGCCTACCCCAAGAGGTCCTGTATTTTGTTGAGGAGTGTTTCATTAGCAACCTTTATAAACTGAGAGCAAACATTATTCAAGTTTCCTAAAAATTATTGCTAAAAAAAGAAATTATGTAATCTGAACTTGAACATTTTAAAGCATTGTTCTACAATTAAATATTTATTCCTTTATACCCGACAACCAGTTTTCAGGAAATGAAGGGACAAAGGAACATCTTAAACACCAGTAGGGGGTATAATCAGCACAACTCTGACTCTGGGAAACCTTGGAGCAAACTACCTCAACAAATAAAGTACAAGAAAAAAACAATAATAATAAAGCAAGGAGCCGAAAGGAGATATGCAGGAAAAGAGACTTGAAGGACTTCACAAGTGGTCCAGCGGTTAAAAGTCCGCCTGCCAGTGAGGGGACACCGATTTGATCTCCGGTCTGGGAAGATCCCACATGCCTCGGGCCAGCTGAACCCCTGCGCCACTTTGCTCTAGATCCTGGGGGCCGAAACTGCTGAGCCCGCGTGCCCTGAGGCCCCGGCTCCCCACGGGAGAAGCCACACAATGAGACGCCTGTGCCCTGCAACTAGAGAAAGTCCCATGTAGCAGTGAAAACCCTGAACAGCCAAAAATAAATAACAAGTAGCTAAATAAAATTTTTAAAGTAAGTAAAAGAAATTTGAGGGGCATACTGACCAATAGTAATGCTCAGATCTTATTTGGATTCTGATTCAAACAAACTGTGTAAGTAAAATTAGGACATTTATGAAACAGCTGAGAATTTGAACACTGGATATTTGACAAAATTAAGGGATTATTGTTCAGACTTTATGGACATGATAAAGGTGTTACGGTTATATATTTTTAAAGACGCCATATCTTTTAGAAATCTAAGCTGAAGTGTTTGCAGGTAAAGTAGTGTGAGGCCTGAAAGAAAAGTGAAAGTGAAGTCTCTTAGTCATGTCCAACTCTTTTCGACCCCATGGACTATAGCCTACCAGGGTCCTCTGTCCATGGGATTTTCCAGGCAAGAGTACTGGAGTGGGTTGCCATTTCCTTCTTCAAGGCCTAGTGTGAGGCCTAGGATTGGCAAATATGTGAGGGAGCTAATGGGTGAGAGTATGGTTGAAATT